AGATGACTCTCATGCWTGGAATTCTGGGTTCAGGCCTGCTAACTGGTAGGGTAAGGGTACTTTCTAGGTAAGAGAACAAAAATGAAGAGAACAGTCACATGCAAGTGAAAGGAGGAAATAATAACATCTCCTTAGATTGAAGTTTTCACCATTAACAATAATCCTTATAAACCCCAGAATGCTGTGTGGACAATTATCACCTCCCTCTACAGACAAGGAAAGTGAAACTCAGATTAACTTGCTTTGAATCCTACAGCTGGCCAGTGGGGAGAAGGACAGAAGCTCAGGTGGGCCTACCTATTGGATTGCTGCCTTGGAAGCACAGTGGCTGAAGCAAGACTAACCTAGATATGAATTCTCCTCCACTACTTACTAGCTGGGCATTCTCTGCAAGATGCTCAACCTCTCTGTGCTACTACAAAATGGAGGTCCTAGGAGTCCCCAACTCATTGGGTTGCTGTCAGGATTAACTGAATTGAAACTCTGATGTGCTTAGGAGCAGTACCTGGCACATAGAAAGGCAATGTAAAATTTTGGTTTATTTAACCTTGTCGGCCATCAGACTGCACACACTGAGAGGAGAAAGTTCAGAGTCCAGTAGTACTCAGTGACAGGGTAGGCAGAAACACTTGAAAAACTATAAGAGCCTCGGGTGGAGGGAGCCTTGGCTTCATCGGTGGTGAGGGAATGGCCTCATTTAGAAGCCTAATTAAGCTGCTCTGCCCGCTGGGTCTTAACTCCAGGGCCAGACTCCAGACTTACCAGTGCGGGTCCCAAACCTCTCTCCCCACCGTCACTACCCCCACCCAGGCGCTCCGGGTTTCCTGCCCGTCTGAGGCCCCTGAGTGGGGCGGGTGGAGGAGGGGTGGCATTTCCTGGCCAGGCCGAGGGCCGCGTCACCCTCTCATGGACGCTCGGACAACTAGCTGACCGACAGGCACCAGATGCTATTTCGGGCGGCGCCTGGCTAAGCGCTCAGTTTCCGTTTTTTCCACCCACTGTCGGAAACTGGGGAGGGGAGGGGTGTAGACGTCACGAGCCCCCAGCCCCAGGCAGCCCCAGGTGGGGGCTTGGGGACTTGGTCAGGGACAGCTGGCAGTCTGCTAGAGGAGAACGCGTTTGTGTGGAGGAGGGGGATGGCGAACGCCCGCTCCCAGCCCTGGAGACAGACGCCTGGACACACCCTCTGCGGTAGGGTGGACGAGCCTTTCCACCTGTCCCCACTTCTTCAAGAGGCTCTTCAATGTGTAGGGCAGGGTTCTTTCATGCCCTGTAAAATAACCCGACAGTCGACAGTCGGCAGGTGCCTCAAAGGCATCTACACTCAGGGAGTTCAAAACAAAAAGCAGAATCCCACCCCCTGCTCTCTGGTCTCCAGAACCCTCCCCCCATCTCAAGGAGGACTCACCTATCTCCAATATGACAGCCACATTCCTGGATTCCTCCCTCCTTCTTGCCTGCCAGACCCAATTCCTTCAAACCCTGTTTTAATTCCTACATAAATGCCATCTTCTGCCATCGCATAGAACAAGCTCTAATTCTCCCTCCCCAGACCACTTACAGGGCCCCAGAACTGGTCTTCCAGAATCCTTCCCATCCTAACTCCACACTGCAGCCAAACAGTCTTCTAGAAAAGCATATGTGATCCTATATAGGACACTGGACACCGGACAAAAGGTTCCAAACAATCCTTAAATTGTCCATAGGCTTGCTCCATTCCTATTGAATTCTTTTCTGTTCCTTTCATGAACTTATGGTCCTTTTGCTTCAGCCCTTGGTCCAGGCCTCATTTTCTTAGGGAAGCAGTCCCCAGCTGGACTCTCCAATATGGGATTGGCAAATCTCTTTTTGCAGGGGCTTGCATACATGAAATGCATACATGAAATGACTTACCCAAGAGTCCCATAGCCCAAGAGTGACAGATCTGGGTTTCTAACTCATAATTACATGGATCTCACTCTTTCTATTAAGTGTCACAGCCAAGGAAAGGTGTGTGTGTGTGTGTGTGTGTGTGTGTGTGTGTATCACAGATCACAGGTGGCCTTCCACTGTGGGGTTCTGTGAAAGTTACCTGTACCCACACAGTAGCTGACTTTCATCAGAGAGCACAGGAAGAGGAGACAGGCTGCACTGAAGTAACAGCACCTTCTCAGGGAGTCATCCACATGACCTTGGAGGGACCAGAACTCAGAGAGGGGTACAATTTGGGATCAGTCCTTGACTGGAACTCAACCTATGACTGGACAGATGAGGAGCTTTTCCCAGTTCTCACACTCCAAAAAGAGCCCAAACTGGAGACAGAAGAGAGACAAGCAGCCTGGCACGATGAGAAAAATTGTGACTGGGAGTTGGACAATGAGCTTGATTGCTGGCTTTTCTTCTGGGTCACTAAGTTTGGGCCAATTTACATCTCTTTTTGCCTTATTTTTCTTCTCCATGATGGTATCCAGATCTCCTATGCAAGTGCATACCATGTTTTCATGGGCTGTGGGTTGGTTAAATACATAGACTATCACCCACCACTGCCACCTTTTAAAGGTCATTGTATTTATTCTCACAACTTTGTGAGGCAGAAGTTATCTCCCTGTTTTAGGGAGGAAGAAAATGAGGTTTGGAGCTAAATGGCTAAAATTTGAGCCTGTACTCCTTCCACTCCGACATGAAAGAATAAATTCATATATTCTCCATAGGTTGAGCCCCAGTTACCCAGTTGGCACTGTACTCCACTTCCTGCTGTACATTATAGATCTTGTCTGGAGTACTAGACCACTGAGCCACATTCCCAGCCCTATTTTGTATTTTATTTAGAGACAGGGTCTCACTGAGTTGCTTAGTGCCTGCTGTTGCTGAGGCTGGCTTTGATCCTCCTGCCTCAGCCTCTGGAACTGCTGGGATTACAGGCATGCGACACCATGCCCAGCCCAAACTAAGTTCTTAACGCCCCATTTTAGCTGAGACTCCGGGGCCAAATTTCCTTCAAACCCAGGCTCCACCATTCACTAGAAATGTAACATTGGGAAACATTATATTTTACTCTGTGCCTCAGTTTCCTCATCTGTAAACTGAGAATAACAAAAGCACCCATTCCTCAGGACTGGTTATGAAAATTAAAAATATTTGTAGAGTACTTAGTACTTAGGTTAAAGTGTTTGTTAAAAATATTATGGGGGAGTGTTGATTGTGGGCACTGGGCTAAGCCTGAAATCAAGCAGAATGAATATTTTAATCCCCTATTGACTTCAATCACTCCAACCCTCTTAGAGCCCCCTTGGGTTTGTGCTACTGGCTCCATTTTAGAGCAGAAAGTGGTGGAAGGCCAGAGAGGAGTTGGGGGGCTTTCTGAGATAAGAGGAACTGTCCACTGAAATCCGGGTGACTAGGACACTGGAGAAAGAATGAAGGAAGGAAGAAGAGTCAGAAGGTGATGGTTTTGGGATGTCTTTGGTGGTCTTCAGAGGCACAGAGTGTTGGGATGAGAGTCGCCAAAGAAAGGTATCTGGAAGGCCGAAGGAATGAGTGAGGTTGTAGGGAGCCAGGATTCGTGAGAGGTCCCCGGGATGAGAAATGGGGCTGAACCCGCCCGGTCGTAGACAGCGCGCTCAGTTCTCTCGGTGGCGCATTCCGGAGCCGGTCCCAGCGCCGCGCAACCAGTCCCCACTCCCTCCGGTGAAATTGCCAAATTAAAATGAATCATTTGGCCCATAATGGCCGAGGCGCTTATCGGGGGCGGGCGGACCCGCGGCAGTGCCTTATCTCCGCGGCGCACACGGCCCCGGCGCGCCTCGGCCCATGCTAAMGAGGCCTGGAACGTGAGCGGGATTAGAGCGCGGTGGGGCAGGAGCCGGGCGCGGGCGGGCGGGGGAGCGGACTGCGGAGGGGCCGGGCCTCCATAGCCAAGGAGCAGGCCTCAAAATGGCCACACGCGTCCCCCCGTACGGAAAAACGTGAGCATTCTGGCCTTTTTGTTGGGGAGAAGCGACCTCCCGCCTCCCACGGAATTCCTCGTCAGTTTCCTCCCTCGCTCCCCACACCCGCAGAAGATGCCTGCGCTCTCTTTCCTTCGGTTTCTTTAGACGGGGGGCATTTTCCACGGACACCCCCGCCCTCGCCGTCCCCCTCCCGCCTCGGAGACTCTCTTCCTTCCTTCCCCTTTTTCCTTACGCAATATACAGAAATGCGCGAGGCGGTGGTTGGTTTTCATTTCTTCTTCGTGGTTGTGTGCATGCGGTGGGATTGTGAGAGTGCGTGTGTGTGAGCTGTGGGCGATGTTGGCTGTTTCCGAATGTGGTCTTTTGGGCGATAGGTTGCGTGTCCCCGTGCAATGGTGCCTGCACTGTTTGGGTGTGTAGATTTGGAACCCTGGGAGACCCTACTGCCGTTTATTCGTTGTGTGTGTAATTACGCCCGTTTCCTTTCTCAACTGGAGTCGGGTTCTGCATGTTGGGTTTGTGTGGTCTTGGCGATTGTGTTTGGGTGGCTTCGTTGTTAGGTCGCGCCTGTGTGATCCTGTGTCGGGTTGTGTGTCCGTGAGTGACTGTGTTTAACCGATTTCGTTGTGTCATGTTGGGAAGCGTGCGGGTCTGACCATGTCGGCTTGTGGGGCAGTGTTTGGTTGTGTTTATTTGCTTCCCTCCTATGAGGCTGGACCTTGTGTGGCCCTGTCCACACCGAGCTGTGTGCGTGTATGCCTGTGTCCTTTAGAGGTGCATTTGCAAATCGCTGGGGGCGGGAGTGGGGGAGGGTGAGCGAGAGATCCAGGCGCTAGTGGGGACGTCGGCATGGGGGCGGGGAGCGGGATTTCACATTTTATTCCAAATTATGATGTATTCGGGAGCCAGTGTTGGCTTGGATGGGCGGACAGAGCCCAGTCGGCTGCTGCTCAGTCGGGAGGTCAATCTGCGCCTCGGTGTTTGAAGGGTTCGTTGGTGAGTGGGAGGCTCTTCCAAGCTCGAAGCTGAGCAGCGCTTGCAGAGGCCCGCGCCTTCCAGCCGGTAGCCGCGGGCTTGGGTTCGCGCCGCACTCCGGCTTCGCCCATTTCTGGTCAGTTTCGCGGGTGCGGCCGGCAGCGGTGGTCTAGAARGGAGGCCCGGTAAGGACAATGGATGCATTTTTTCCAAAGCCTCGCGCCACGGGTGGGGGCCCTCGGGATCACCTCCGGGGGACATTTTCCTACCCTTTTCTTCATAAGCGACATTACCGTGAGGGTCAGATGCCTGTCGCATGGGTGACCACAGCCAAATTCGGGCTTCTTGGAAGAACGGGGTCAGTGCTGCCCTGGCTGGAGAAGAAAGGATTTTGTTTTGCCAGTTGTTGTGATTGCCAATGTCATCATCATTATGATCATCATCATTRGCATCCTATTTTAATTAAAAATAATCGTCCCAAAGCGCGGCAGCAAGTCCCTTTAGCTTCTTTGGAAGGAGAACAAAGCAGCGCAGTCCTGTTACCCCCCCCCCCCGCCCTCCAGTTTTGTTTTCAAGTTGTTGGGTTTGGGGTAGGGAGAGAAAATGGAGGGGTCAGACAGAGATTCAGTCATAAAGCAAACACAACCCCGAAATAACACGCCGGGGATGGGTGGGTTCCCCTCTTTCTTTCTTTCTCCATTTGGATTAGGAGAGGAGAAAGAAAATCGCCCGCATTGGATCAAAATTCGAGGAAGAATTATTCCTGTATTTCCACCAGAGCGCGGCAAAAGGAAGGAAGCCTTTGCAATTAATCCAAGACTTCGATGTGATCATAAACTGGACAATTTAGGCAAAACAAATTAAACAAAACCCACAGGGGGAAAAAATAAAAGCAAACTAAATCTGGCTACACCCCTGGAAGCAGTATCCGGTTGGTTTTTAACCCTCCTTCCCTTTTGCCTTATTTATTACTGCAACAAATTACTAGAATTCCCCCTATTCTGCCTGTCTAAACCCCGAAAAATCAAAAACCATTTTGTAGGGCTGGTGGAGGGAAAGATGAAGAATTTACCCCCTCTATTTCTCTCTCCCTTACTTTCTTTACTTAYCCTAACTTACTTACTTACTTTCGTTCTTTCTTTTATTCTTTCAGTTAGAAGGGAGAGGGAAAAAGGACCTGAATTTATCAGACACCTACCCACCCCCACTTCGGACTCCATTCCTTAAGGGAAGTAGAGCCCTTGGAATCTGGTTCTGGTTTCGCTTTGGGCTGGAGGTGGGTAGRTCGGGGTCAGGAGAGATCCTGGAGGAGGGGGTTGGACTTGGTGTTCTGCCCCACAGATCAGGGCCTGGAGAGACTGACTATTCACCTTCCTGGACACATACCCCCCACCCATCCACGTCTGGCCAGGGAGACCCTTATGTGCTGTGGCCAGGGCCTGGCTCCGGTTGCAGAGTAAACTGCGTAGACACGTCCATGCTTAGAAAACAAATTTGACCATACCAAACCAGTCCGATCCCATTTGGAGGGTACGAAAATGTTCTGGGCAGCCTGCCGGGAGGGGTTGTTGTTGTTGGACTAAATAGTTATTCCTGATTGGTTAGGCATAGTGTTCATTTTTAAGGGGAGTGGGGAAGGCTCCAAACACCTGCAGGTTGGGGGCGGAAAGCAGTTCGTGATTCTATGGGCTGGTTGGTGGGGGACATGAGGTAACTCCCAGCCATTGACCCCCATTTCTTTCTCGCCCTCCCTTTTTCTCTCCACCCCCATCGTTCCTGGAAACTCGSTTTGGGCGCGGCAGACCGGCCAGGACCACGCCGCAGTCCAACTAACTGCTAGTCTTTCTGCGAGAGAGGGGGAAAGCAAAGACCCCTGGCCACAACCTTGACCCCTCTCCTCCTGTGGAGGAGTGAAGGTCCTGTTCAGAGGGGCCAGTCTCTCTAAATATGCCCCAGGTGAGTTTTTTTTGGGGGGGTGAGGTGGGGTGAGGTGGGGTGAGGGTGAGTGTTAGAGGAAAGAGTATCCAGGAAGGCCTTGGGATTCCTGCTTGAGATGGGGAAAGCTCAGGAAGAGAAGAGCCCAGTCTTAGATTGGGACTGGACAGGACCAACACAAGGTTGGGAAATTCAGCTGCCTCTGGCATCCAGCAGGGCCCTTCCCTTTTTCYGGTCTCCAGTAAGACCAGCTGGTGGAATAAGTCCCCCGGCAGCTCTCATCCTTCTGGGTTCTGTGGACATTTCACAAGGCCAGTGACTCTGTAGAGGCTATATCCGGGTGGTTTAGACTATGCCTGGAGCTCCTGCAGGAAGAAGGCCCAAGCCATCCTGGCTGCTCTGGTGAGCCCTTGACACAGGGCCTGAGGCCTAGGGCCTGTAGTGCTGAACACCCCTCCATTCGGTAGCAGCAGATACTGGTGGATTTGGTTCTGATGTGGACTTTGGGCTCCTCCAGAGTGTCCTGCTGGTGCCGATGCAGTAGGAGGGATTGGAGGYCAGTATATGGTGGTGGCTCTAGCCCGGGCCCTTTTTTTTTAATCTAAGAAAGTCTTCATGCCAGAGAATGGAGGGTTGGGATCTGCTGGAGATGGGGTATCTCCTTGTTCAGGCACACACTGAAAGGCCCTGCTGTTTGGCAACTGGAGTGTGAGGATTTGGTGTTGAGGGCTGCAAGCTGGATTTCTACTGCACAAAGAGAAGAATTGTAATGGTAGAATAGTCTAGTGCCATTCAGTCCTAACCCTCCCTACTTCTGCATCCTCTCCAAATAAAAATCACTCAGGCTTTCCTTTCAGTAATCTTAACTGAAGCCAAGTGATGCAGTTTTGTCCTCAATGACTATAGGCGTTTGTGTCATCTGGTGGCTTTCTTCTGGGTATGGACCCCTGGCTGGGGTGATCCTGGGCTCAGAAGAGCTAGCTGGGTTTTTCTGAGGTCCAGGAGAGGGGGCAAGGAGAGGCCTCCCATAGACTCCCAAGGCCAATCTATGTCACTCACAGGAAAATTTGGATATATGGATATTTATAGGCATCTGGAGAGGACCACTGGGGGGCCAGGGTCAACTCATCTGGAATATTTGCTCCTTTTGCCTCTCAGGAACTTGCTTCTACTGCTTCAGGGCAGAATTAATCAGAGTATACATGTGTCATAAGAGAGTTTGAGCTCAATTGGTGATTGGAGTGCACACTATGTCATTCAGAAGCACATGTCATAGGGTATACACTGATGGTGGTGACTTTGAAGTAGGGAGCTAGCACCTCTGGGCTTGTATATTTCACCAAGGACTATATTTCTGTACTTCAGCAGGGGTGGGGTAGGGAAGCTAGGATGTCTGTTTTTTGCTTTTGGTTCATTTCCAGTGGCCTGAGTGTCTTGGTTGTGGCATTCTGTGGATACAAACCTTTATTTCCTTTGTAATCAAAAGTTACTTTCAATGAAGCATTGCAGATGCACTGCCATTGCTGCTTATGTACACAAAATCTTGGGGAATTTTGTCATTTCCAGGCTAAGTGGGGGACTGGCAGACCCAGCACAGGCATRCAGTCTGAATTTCAGTTCTCTGCCAGCTAGTGTGTGTGGTGGTAATTAAGCTGAATTCTGTAGGAAGTTTCAGTCTCCCTTCTAGGGTGGGAAGAATGGTTCCCAGATGATTCTGTCCAGAATATTGCAATGGCAGAATGGAGGAGTTTGATGGCTACCACAAATATTAGATGGACTTTGAGCTGAATTGGATTTTGATATATTTCTGTTCTGCTTTAAAATATCCCAATTACATAATTCTGAGAGCAGAAAACCTATTTAAGACAATTTATCAAGTCTGTTGAATATAGTTTTATTAAAACAATGCACAAACATGCCCAAACTCTGGATTCTGAGTCTCATGGTTTTTTTGTTTAGGTTCTTGTTGGGGTCTGTTTCTATCTGGGTGAAGCTGGGTGACAAAAGATCTTAGCATATTCATGGGAAATAGAGTGGCTGTGGTCATCTTGGAGTGTGGTTRTGCAGAATAGAGGGGGTTTCTGGGCTCCAGTGTATATATGGGAGAGAAACACAAAGTGAAGTCAGAGTTCTATTTCTCAGGAACACCAAGATGGAGTGGGGACTGGAAGCATTCAAAGGCAGTCTTGATATCTCAACCTGATTTAAAAAAAATTTTTTTTTAGTTGTAGATGAGCACAATATATTTGTTTATTTACTTATTTATTTTTATGTGGTGCTAAGGATGAACCCAGGGTCTCATACCTGTGAACCAAGTGCTCTACCACTTAGCCCCAGCCCCAGCCCTCTCATCCTGATTTTGGAGGGGAACCCAGACCCTAAAGGCCTCAGGAGCACTCCTTAAATCCCTGGGCTTCATGCCGTCTCACCCAGTCTTCCCTTACAGACCTGGCCTTACTGCTGAGTCCCACTGAACTGAATAGAATGAAGATACAGGGCTGTAATGCCAGAATCATCTTAATCCCAGCACCATCTTTGTCTCTTGGTGACCTCTCTTCTCTGTATCTGGGTAGGAGCAACACAGTAGTGCACTGAATGCAAGGTGGATTTTCTTAGTACAGCCAAGCCAGGGGAGAGAGAGAGAGAGAGAGAGAGAGAGAGAGAGAGAGAGAGAGAGAGTGTGTGTGTGTGTGTGTGTGTGTGTGTGGTGGGGGGCAGTGGAAAAGACATCTTTGGATTTTTTTTTTTTAAACTAGCATTGTAGGAGAGAACCCCAGTCCCTGTAGCTTTCATTCCCTACTTCCACCTCTACCAGGTTTCTGGGTGTATGTGTGAAGTGTATGTGTGAAGTGTGTGTGTGTGTGTGTGTGTGTGTGTGTGTGTCCTTCCACACACTGAGGGAGGGTGTTGCTGAGAGGTGAAGAATTGCTCCAAAAGCACCCCAACCCTGCATGACAGATTCCCCGCCAAAACCAAAAGTGGGGCGGGAAGAACACGGGTCGGGGATTTGTTCCCTCCTCTTCCCTTGCGGCTTGAGAAGGGGCACGGGGTGCTCTTTCACTCCTCTTTGTACATTTCCTTCCTCCTTTTATTCCCTTCGGTTTTCTTTGCCGTCTGTATTCCTTTTCTTCCAATGTATCTGCCGTCTTTCTCCATTTCTGTCCTTTTGGCCCACAGTCTTTGTGCCTCCCAGACACTCCCCCTCCTCCCAGTCCGGAGAAGCCCTTCTCCTTGGGCCGCAGGCCCGCCTGGCCTTCAGGCCCCCAGGGCTGAGGACTGGGGTGCGTGTCCTCTTGGCGCTAAGTTTGCTTCTCAGGTCTCAGTGCGCGAGTTCCTCTCTCTGTCCCTCAGCCCTCTGCGGCCGGGCCGGGGGCTGTTGTCAGAGCGGGCGTCCGCTTGTCTGTCTGTCTGCCCGCAGGATGACCGAGCGGCCGCCGAGCGAGGCGGCACGCAGTGACCCCCCGCTAGAGGGACGGGAAGCGGCCGAGGCCCGCATGGCCCCCCCGCACCTGGTCCTGCTGAACGGCGTCACCAAGGAGACAAGCCGCGCGGCCCCAGCCGAGCCCCCGGTCATCGATCTGGGTGCTCGCGGCGGCCCGGGGGGCGGCCCTGCCGGTGGGGGCGGCGCCACGAGAGACTTAAAGGGCCGAGACGCGGCGGCGGCCGAAGCGCGCCATCGGGTGCCCACCACCGAACTGTGCAGACCTCCCGGTCCCGCCCCGGCCCCCGCGCCCACCTCGGCCCCAGCGGAGCTGCCAGGCGACGGCCGCATGGTGCAGCTGAGCCCGCCCGCGCTGGCGGCCCCCGGCGGCCCCGGCCGCGCTCTGCTCTACAGCCTCAGCCAGCCGCTGGCTTCGCTCGGCAGGTGAGCAGCCCGCGGGAGGGCGGGGAGAGCGGCCCGCGCAGCCAGGCTCCCCTTCGGCACGTGGGAGGGACCCCTCTCCTGCCTGTGGGTCTCGGGAAGGGAGCGTGTGGTTGGAAACCTCTGGGCGTAGGAGCCAGAAGCTGGAGCCGGTGTGCGAAAGTGGGAAAGGAGCTCGGGAGCCTGAGTGACTGTGGAGACAGACGTGACCTGCGGCGTGCGGGTGTATGGAAGCCGAGGGGAGGAGTGCGCGCATTTGGKGGTGCAGGCTTGAGGCTGTGTGAGAGTGACTGCATTGTGTGCTGGGTGGTGGTGGTGTGGATAGGGGGGTGTCCCCTGTGTGTGAGTCCCTGGCAAATGTGTCTGGATGAGCCCCTGTGTGAGAGAGGAGGTGTTTGCTTTTAAGTTATGAAATTCTGGAAGGTGTAGCCCTAGGTGGACAGGCAAGAGAGAAGGATATGGAGTGGTTGTAGAGGGTACCCTTTTATGAGTCCTTGCTGGGGTCCACCCTAGCCCCCCTCCCCGCTGGCTGGGTCCGTACAGTGGGTGTAAGGGAACAGCCTTCCCTGCTGGGTTACTGTGAAGTTGCAGGGGGGATGCAGGGTCGGGATGGGGAGGGGAAGAGGAGGCGGGGTAGAGTGCAGGGCAGGCAGCTAGGAGAGAACCGCGGGGTAGAGTGCAGGGCAGGCAGCTAGGAGAGAACCGCGAGTGGATGATGGGGGAGAGCCACCGGTCGGGGAGCATGTTGGAGGCGATGAGTCAGGGTTTCCTGTGCGTGGTCGAGCATCGGAGGGTCGGGAGGAGGGAGCACGAGTGAAGGTGGAGTGAGTTTGGTGGGAGGGGACAGCATGCCTCTTTGTGGTGCTGGAGTTGCATATCATCAAGTGTGAAGGCCACAACTGCCTGTGTAGGCACCTGTTTGGGAGCGTCTGTGTGGTTTGTGTGCTTTCTAGGAGAGGAGAGTGTATTTCCTTGGTGTGTGTTGTGCGTTCATTTTTCGTGTTTGCTCTGTGAATTTACCTCTGTGTGCTTGTGTGTGTGTGATTCATCTTCTATCAAATTCAAGTGTGAAAGGAGCAGGGTATCCTTCCAGGGGTGAGGGGCTCCAGGACAGGTGGGGAAAATCCCTAAGGAGCCTCTTTCTCTCATCCACACAATGTGTCATCTTGTAATCTGCTTGCTTCCTCCACAGTGGGTTCTTTGGGGAGCCTGATGCCTTCCCCATGTTCACCACCAACAATCGAGTGAAGAGGAGACCCTCTCCCTATGAGATGGAGATTACAGATGGTGAGTCTCCCCTGCCCCCACCTCCATAACCACCCCCTTGCTAGACCTGTGGAGGAGGAAACCCTGGGACTATATAGGTGTCCCACATAGGTGGGATAGGCCACCTTGGAACCCCAAACCAGCAAAGCCCTTTTCCCTGAAACAGAGTTGGAGTGAAGCCATGGGTAAGGCTGGGAGGGTCCCACTCATAGTCCTAGAAAGAGAGTTTATAGGAGAGGGACTTACAGTGGTGCTCATCCCAAAGCTATAGAGTCAGTTCTAGTCCCCACTCCAGGCTCATTCCTACCTCTGGGAAGGATCCTGGGGAGGGCAGGAAGAATCTGCTATAACTCCTGACATCTCAGGGAGCCCCTGCCCCTTCCCTCAATGCCTCTTTGGAGTCTGGAGTCTGCTCCTGCCTGAAATTGCAGCTTCAAGGGCCTGCTGCCAAGTCCCTACATTGTGTCCCATCACTATCTATCTCTTGTTCCACATTCTGGGCTGAGACCTGGTGTTCCCTGCCATCACAGATTCTACTCTGGTCCAGAGAGGCCTCAACACTTCTGTGAACTACCTGAGTATTCTTTGGCCCTAAACTTGAACGGTAGATTTGGAGGACCCCTTTCCTCCTTCCAAGGTTGACCTGATGTAACTGGGTCCCAGCACCAAGGTAGAAGAGTGGCCTCTTCAGAGCTTAGGGACTTTGAGCAAGTCACTGGAGCTTGAAAGGCTTCAGCCTGGCTGGGGCTCCTGGGAGAAGGGCACTAGGGCCTCAGGAGACCTGGGACTTATGCTGGGAGTTGGCAGATGGTGTGTGTGTGTGTGTGTGTGTGTGTGTAGAGCACTTGAACTTCATGGGTAGAGCACTCTGTGGGGTTCTGGAGAGGAGGGGGCCAGAACCTCAGAAGTCCAAGCCTTCCTGGGTCAAGGGCATGTGGGACCAAGAGGGAAGGGTGATGGGGCGCTGCTGGATTAGAGAGGGTTCTCCAGCCTGGGAGAACTGGGGGTACCAAATAGGAAGTAGCAAGACCAACCCTGAAGTTCCTCAGGGAAGAGGCAGAAGAACCAGATGAGAGGGTTTAGGGAACTGCAGGCGCGTAGGAAAGTCATTATCCATAAAAGTTACCAGTGTATACTAAGCACCTACTCAGTGTCAGGCCAGAGAGAGACAGAAGATGCTAGAAGGATGGACAGACTAAGGAAAGAGGAAGAAGTATTTGTGTGTATGTGTGTGTGTGTGTGTGTGTGTGTGTGTGTGTTGTGTGTGTCTCAGAAGAAGGAGAAGTTAGACATGTAGGTGAAGGGAAGGGTGTGGGGTGTGGGAGTGTAGGACATGTAGAAATCAGAGACTGAACCAAGAGTCCATAGAAGTGGAACCAGTATAAGCTCTAGAGTCAGGACTTGTGGATTCTTATTCTTTACGTTTCTGAGCCACAGTTCCTTGTAAATGGAGTGAATAATAGTTGCCTTCCAGATTATTCATAGAGTGTGATGGAGAAAAGTGTTTTTAGGGCCTGGTTCAGAGCAGGTGCTRAGGACATGTGAAGGCTCACCCCTCCCCTCCCTTCCTTTGCTGGTCAGGAAAATTGTGGAGGGATTTCAGGGACAGTAAGCCCCCTCCATTGAAACTGGGACTGCCTAACACAAGGCAGACTTGAATATGGAGCACAGTGCTTTGCATATTGTAAGTGTTCCATATGTACCCTGTGGCTGCTTCTGCTCTGCAAGCCTTGGTACCAGGATGCTAATGACTCTTGGGTTAAGCTTTAAGCAGTGCATTGTAGACAGGGAGACTGAGGCAGTCCTTTAAAGCCTGTCTGAAGCCTAAGACCATGACTGTGCATGGCTGTCTCTCCTCACCTCTTCTGGGGAAGAAGCCCACAGGTTAATTCCTTTCCTTTCTGGTCTCTGCTCTACTTTCATCCCCCAGTCCCCTGCCATCTCTATGCTTAGTCACTCAGGAAACATGTACGAAAGCCCCTACTCTGTGCTTTCCATCACTTCTAAAATAAAATCCTCTTACATTTTACTACAGGGTCCTGCCTACTCCGACCCTGTGCCCACTATTCCAGCCATTCTAGCTTCAGCCCTTTCCCACCTCTGGGACTATGAACTTGACATCCCTCTGCTTGGGCACTATTCTTCCTTTCCATGCCTGTGCCTGGCTGGCTTTGTTTCAGCCTTAAGTTTTTTTACCTTATAAATGTCTTCACCTCAGGAGACCTTCGCCAGCTACCTTAGCAAAGAGTACTAGCTCTTTTTGTCTTTTACTTATCATTTGGCCCCCTACTTTTCTTTTTAATTACTTTTTCATTGTCTCTCATACCCTCTAAATGTAAGCTACAGGAGGGCATGAGTATATTTGTTCACCATTATTCCTTCGTGCCTAGCACAGTACCTGGGTTGTTAGTAAAAAACTAATGGATGGCTAGCAATAACYAACACAGTGTGAATGTTTAAACTGAGACAGGCATTGTGTTAAGTACATCGCCTGTGTGAGGCATCAGACCCATGTAATGATCTTATGAATTTTCTTACCAGTATTCTCTCCATTTTATGGATGAAGAAGCTAAGGCACAGAGAGTTTAAGGGCCTTGCCCAGAGGGACTTGTCTAGGTTCAATTCAGGAATTGAAAACCTAAAGGTTCTGGCTCTAATTCTGTCTTGCTACATCATGCTCTTGGCACAAGTGAGATTGAATGATGTATGGTTCCTGTCCTCAAATTCTGCACAGCCCAGAGAGGGAGCCAAGCCCAGAAACATATATATAACAATCAAGAGTGATGGGGACAAAAGAGCAATAGGGTCATAGGGGTTGGTTAGATGGGTCTGGAGGGTTGAAGGAAGATCTCAGAGGAGGTGACAGGACCTGAACTTGGAACGAGTCTCCTGAGTAACAGCAACAACAAAGTGTTCTGGGTCTCTCAAGCCTTCCAGTGAATGGAGAGCCCTTTGGGAGGAATCTTAGCTTGTTCTCCTAACCCKAGTCCTCCTACCCTCCAGGTCCCCACACCAAAGTAGTGCGGCGGATATTCACCAACAGCCGGGAGCGATGGCGGCAGCAGAACGTGAATGGGGCATTTGCTGAGCTCCGAAAGCTGATCCCCACTCACCCCCCGGACAAGAAGCTCAGCAAAAATGAGATCCTCCGCCTGGCTATGAAGTACATCAACTTCCTGGCCAAGCTGCTTAATGACCAGGAGGAGGAGGGCACCCAGAGGGCCAAGCCTGGCAAGGACCCCGTCGTGGGGGCGGGCGGAGGCGGGGGTGGGACAGGGGTTGGTGCTCCTCCAGATGACCTCCTGCAGGACGTGCTTTCTCCCAACTCCAGCTGTGGCAGCTCCCTGGACGGGGCAGCCAGCCCGGACAGCTACACGGAGGAGCCGGCACCCAAGCACACGGCCCGCAGCCTCCATTCTGCCCTGCTGCCTGCCAGTGATGGGGCCGGCCCCCGGTGATGGGTCTGGGGTCACCCAGGACCAGCCGGGAGAGGGCCCCTAGGCCACTGGGATGGTGGGCTTTAGGGCAAGTGGGATGAGAAACAGGGCAATGGACTTTATGAAATTCCCTTGCGCTCTGAACTTTGGGAAGCCCCAAGGCTGGCTTTTCCGTTTCCTGCTCAGTAGAACAGGAAAACGGAGCAAAGTGGTAGGTACTTTTTTTCTGAAGATGGCACGGTCTTCCCCCTCCCTGAAACCCTAAGACTTCCTAAGAGAGAGGCTCAAATGTCACCGCTTTTGGCCTGGAGTTTGGAGCCCTGTCTTGGCTGACACCTGAAGTTGTCTGCTGTGTCATCTGGGGTATCCAGCAGTCTCTGCCTTGCCATTAGCCCCTCCCAAGCTGGTTGGATGGCTTTTGTGGCTGCTTCTGTCCAAATATATAGGTACCCAATGGCTGCCCATTTCTTGAGCCCTGTCTTCACCCAGGCCCATGTTGATCCATCCAGCTTGCCAGCTGCTGCGGAGAGTCACAAGCCTTGAGGTGCCTTCTTCATGGCCTGGTTGAAGAAGTTGGCCATTGGACAGCCTGCTCCTGACTAACTGGGCCAGAGGGTCAGGAAACCCAATAGCCCTTACTTCTTGCCCGGGGGATCAAAGTTCTTTCTCTCCACTGAGACTTGCCTTCCTATCCTGTGGMTGTGGAGATGGAGTCTACAGCCTTGAGCATGCCCTGTTGGGCCTTGTGTGAAGGCAGAGAAAGGGAAAATGATAAGAGAGTGAAAATGAGCAAGAGATTTTGGGCATGTGGGCTTCAGCTCCTGCACGTTACTGTTTGAGCAAATGCCAGTGTGCTGATGGGCACCTGTTGGTGCTGAAAAGGGAAGTGCAGCCTCATGCACATTCTCCTAGATGCTTAGAGGGTGTTCCCTGCTGCAAGATGTCTGCTAAATGATCTGGTCTTTCTTCTGAATGAATTGAGCACAAACTGTCCTATGAATTATTTGTATTTAAGATTTTTTTCTTGATTCAGTTATTGGTGAAATCTTTAGGTCTGGATATGACCCAGGACACAGCCCCACTTCTAGGGCATGGGAAATCCAATCAGACACCAGGCCCTGGCTAAACATATGCATATTCATCTAGCAGAACTTTAAATACCATGTGATTGTGCAGCTTTTTGTCATTAAAGGCRTTCAGGGGAGGCTGGTTTAATACAATACGAGTGTCCCCTCCAAAAGTTGTACATGGCATTTTTGTAAATCAAATCCTTATTCTTCATCTTTTAAAGAAATAACTACTGCAAGTTCTTTTGTAAAGTGAAGAATCCTTTTGTAGTGTGAATGACTGCCCCTTTGTTTATCCCTGTGTCCATCCAGGTGGTGGGACATAGTTTTCTGCCTGTGATACATTTCTAAGCCCATGAAACAAACTGCACAGAAGTCCTCTGTATTTGTCATTGTACTTTAAGTCACCCCAGCCCTCTCCCACCAGGCTCTGCCTTTGAGGTCAGAGAAAATATCCTGTCATGTAAGAACCCATCAGTCTGGCTGTTGGAAATCGCCTTTCCTGTTCTGAGTTTCAGCCCAGCAGCTTGCCCCGTGCTGTGATGAGGCCCTATGCAGGAAAAAAAAAAAATGATCCTGGCTCCCCTCCTTTCCTTTTAAGTTGTGAGGTCCAGTTCTTGGGCATGGGAACAGTATGGTTAATCATTGAAGCACTCTGACTCTCTATGTCATTCCAAACACCCCAAATCATATTTTGATAAACATTAGGGTTGGTTCTTTGCCAATGCTTAGAAGTTTCTGTGGGGAGTCTCACTCATGTAAAAATGGAGCAACTGTCCTGGGCTCTAAGACTGTGTTTGCTTCTCAGTGGATTAACTTGACGTGGGAATGAAAAGTGGTCATGTGTGGATGTGTGGTTGAACGATTGGGTTTTGTGAGATGGCTCACACATTCTATTGGGAACTCTTAAGAATCCAGTTCCCCTTTCTCTTAGACTTGCAGTGTGACTGGGACAAGGTACCCACGTGTCACTTTCTCATTAATACCCTGGCTTGGTCTGTCTCCTAGGGCAGCTGTGTGGATTGAATGCAGTTGTGAAACTGGAAGAGTTTTGAGACCACAAAGAGCTCTGTTGCCAGCTGGGGGTGTAGCTCAGTGGTAGAGCACTTGCTTAGCATGCTCAAGGTCTTGGGTTCCATCCCCAGAACTGGGGAAMAAAAAACCATCTCTGTTGCCCTCAGTACCAGTCCTTCTGTGGGGTTCCCAGCCTSAGTCTAGGCCTGGGCAGTGAACAAGTAGGTCATTTAAATTATACTCCACTTTTGCTTGAGTTATGCAGACCCTCTTCATTTCTCCAGATTGTCTGAATTTCTGTCTCATTCCAAGGAAAGGGACAGGACTGAGAGCAGAAAAGAGATTTGGGAGCATGGGCAGACTATGTAAAAATCTGACGGGGCTGCCCAAAGAGGCCTGGACAGGGGAGAGCATGGCTTTAGGTCTTTGTAAGAATTAAAGAAAACCTATATTTTCTGTTTCCATCTTCTGTTCTCCAGGCCCTTCTTTTTCTTTGCCTCCTTCTTGCCCATGAAGAAATAGCACACTCCAAGAATATCTGTATGAAAAGGAAAAAAAGTGTAAAGGTCAACATTTTGAGGAGAACAAAGATGAATGTAACTAGAGGGGATCCCATCTGTTAAGAACTCATACTGTTTTATTTGTAGTGGCAAATGACAAGATGGTACAACCTTTATCCTTTTCTAAAAATAAAGCAAAGGGCACAACATCTGTAGTCAGCCGACAGCTGTATCGGCTGTTTGGGCAGGTCTCTCCGTACTTGTGATTTCAGTGGTACGTGACCCTCTGGGGCTTGCCCCTGCCCGTGTACATAGCGCAGTGTTTCTGTGGGCGGGCCCAGCACTTTTGGTCAATGTTGTACTGTATGTGATGAATTTCGTTGGTCTCTGCATTTTTCTGCAGAAGAGGAGTAACCACTCCGGGTACCTTGACCTTTTTGTACAGCCCAGAGGCCAACACTGTGGGTGTGTGACTAGCAAAAAAAAACAAAAAACAAAAAAAAAAAAACCCATGTGGTGATGATGATGTGTGTACATATATAAGGTTATATGGGGAAGATTTCTAAATAAAAGTTTTACAAAGGGGCTGGACTTTTTGCTTGCACTTTGCACCTCTAGGCCTGAGAATTGGGATATTAAGTGGAAAGGCATGGCAAGAAAGTGCTTCTTCTGAAATGGGGGAGCTTTCAGGACTCCGCTGTGCTCTTAGGAAGTGGGAGGCAGGGACAGGACTAGTGGGGAGGAGGGAGGCTCCCCACTGAGTGTTTCCATTCTCCTCCTGCTTGGGTTTAGCAGCATCTTGCACCTAGGTTGGAAGTACTGGGCAGCTCTGAAGATAGCCCCTCTRCTGGCTCAGCTTCCATAGCTGGGGCAGTAGCTTCTAGCATAGGTTCAGGACAAATTAAGGTGTTGCCATGGGAGGGCCCCAGTTTCCTGGTGACTGATAGGAAACTGCAGCTCTTACTCTTGGCTCTTGAGGACTGGGGTCTCAGGGACAGAGGCCAAAGACTTTGGAAGCCTCAAGTGAAGGCCCTGTGGTGGCATTCATATCACCTGGGAGGGCTGTCCTGGAGGCTTAGGAATGGGAATGTGGTTGGAGGCAGGGATTCTGAGTCTGGAGGAGATCACTGCATGTGGACTGTTCCATCCTTGAAGACTTCATTAGGGTGAGCTCATTCAACTAAATGTTCATCCTTCTCTCATTTGCTTTTTTTGTTGTTGTTGTTGTAGATGGACACAATGCTTTTATTTAATTAATTTATTTTCATGTGGTGCTGAGGATTGAACTCAGTGCCTCACATATGCTAGGCAAGTGCTCTACCACTGAGCTACAACAATAGCCCCTCTCATTTGATTTTAAAAAAGCATGTATTTATTTATTTACATTGGTTAGTGAACTCAGGGACATTCATTATATGTCTGAGTTATATTCCCACCTCTTTTTATTTTTAATTAAATACTTATTTATTTTTTGTACTGGGGATTGAACCAAATTGGTGGCACTTTACCACCAATTTACATCCTCAGCTCTTTTTTAAGTTTTTATTTTGAGACAGGGTCTCACTAAGTTGCTGAAGCTGACTTTGAACTTGCAATCTTCCTGCCTTAGCCTCCTGAGCCACTGGGATTACAGGCATGGTCATTGTGCCTGATTATTTTTTATTTTGAGACAAGGTCTTGCTAAGTTATCCAGGTTGGGCTGAAGCTTGCCACAGCCTCTTAAGTCCACTGTGCCTGACCAAAAAGCATTTATTGATCACTTGCTATATTCCAGGGGTTAGGAACCCAACACKGAACAAAACAAAGATTTCTATTTTGTGGAGCTTAAATTCTAGAAGAGGAGACAGTGAACACAGAGACACACACAACTATAATRATAGATTGGTTATATAATAAGTGAGAACAAGTAATCAGTATAAATGCAAAAGGCTGTGCTAACAAGGGAATTGAGGCCTTCACAGGTAACTCAGTGAGTCTTATTTATCTTGCTAGGCTTTGGTCTTAGCTGCCCCTGCCCTCAGGGAGCTTCTAACCATTGCCAGGAAAGCAGAGACAGGATTGGACTTGGGATCATGCCATATGCTCTGGCCTGTAGGGAAGCGCCTCAGTTTTTAAAAGACTCTCTGTGCTTCTCCCTGACTCAGGTGTGGAGGTTCCTGGGTAGATGAGATGGTGAGATTTGGCCCTGGGGTGGTAACTGGCTATGGATTTTGGGTTTATAGGCTTGAGAAGCAGCAGGATGGAGGGACCTGCCATGATGGGAGGGAGAAAGTAGTGTTCAAGACTAGTGTTCAGGGTGGAGGAAGTGGTGAGTCAAGTCCTCACCACTTGCAGTTGAGTGGTCATGCAAGCAAAGTTCTGAACATGTTGATTGAGTTTAGTGACATGAAGGATTCTGATGCCTGGAGTATCCCATATCCAGCACCACATATCCCATAATGTCAGATGGGGCAGGACCAGCCCACCTGCCTCCCAAGACAGTGCCATTCCTGAGGAAATGGGGGCCTGTATCCCATAGGGAAAGGGCCACACCTGGGGCCTGCCCGAAGTAGCCTGCTGGTCTACCCAGCCTCTTTCTCACCACTCCCTTGTTCTCTTGGCTGCTGCTCTACAATCCTTCCTTCTCTTCCAGACCATATTATTTTATTGTTTTATGACCTTCCATTTTGCACCTTTTGTTTGTTTGTTTCTTTTTTTTAACTTTTTTTAGTTGTCAATGGACTTTTATTTTTATTTATTTATATGTGGTGCTGAGAATTGAACCCGGTGCCTCACACATGCTAGGCAAGTGCTCTACCACTGAGCCACAACTCCAGCCCCTGCACCTTTTGTTTCATTTCCCCAGAACAGCTCACCTGTCCTCTCTTCCCATTCACCTTTCATTTGGTTGGCTTGTTCTCAACATCTGGGAAGCCGTCCTGATTCCATGGGGCCAATGGCCTCCTGACCCCACTGTTCCTGTTTTACCATAGTCCTGTATTTGTACAAAAGTATACTTTTCTGCTTTCCCACTGAAACATGAGCCTTTTGAAAGCAAGACCAGGTCTGATTTATCCCTTTGCCCTCAGAGCCTCAGGGTACACCTGGCATAGGTTCCTTTCAATATTTGCCTGGTGAAGAGCTTCCCAGCTCAGTTCTGAGGCCAGCAGGGAAGGGATGTGGAGATGGGTGGGAAGTGAGCCGTTCCTATACGGAAACCACACCATTGGGCTGGTCAGGGCCAGGCGAAAGCTCTGCCCTGGGCAGGCAGAGATGTTTGGGCTGCCTCTTCTGTTGGAGGAGGAGCTTTCTGGGACTGGGCTGCAGCAGTCTGGTTATCATAGGCCTAGTGGGGAGGTATGGAGGGATGAAGATGTGGGTATGGTGCTTATCTGATCCGCTCACAGCAGCAGCCCTGACTTCTCTTGCTTTCCATGTTTGCAAACCAACTAACTGTTCCCCAGCAGCCAGCACTGCCCCTCCCACTGTACTGCTCCTGGGAGCCAGGCAACTTGGGGACACAGGTTCTGGTGCCTGGCAGTGTCAGCAACAGGGGCTTGGCAATCATGAATCCAAGTAAGGAAAGAGATCAGGATCATCTGGGTTGTGTGTGTGTGTGTGTGTGTGTGTGTGTGTGTGTGTGTGTGTGTGATGGCAGGAGGACATGAGGTCTAGAGAGGGAAAGGGGCTTGACCAAGGTGACCTGGGATGGAATTCTGGTCTGTGTCCAGAGCCAGTGCTCCAGAATCTTCAGGAAGGAAGGAGAGACAGCCAGTATAGTTGGTGTTCTTAGAACAGATGGATCAAGGCTTTGAAAGAGATGGCAGCTCAGCTTGTCCCAGCAGTCTGCTCAGGAGAAATCCAGGTGGACAGTGGAGAACTTGCCTGTAGTGACTGACAGGATAGGATTAGAGGTGGAGGACAGTTGATGTGGAACCAGTTCATGAAGGGTGGGGTCGGCACGGATGGGAGGGAGCAGGAAAGGCAGCTGGACCACAGGATGAGTCTGCTCTTTGGGATCAGAATCACCTGGGTTTAAGTTCCATCACTGCTACTTAATGTACT